AACTTCTCTGTGAACATTCAAGCTCTGTGGCTTCAGCAGGGCGCTACTCTTGCTCAGCACGAAGCAAGCAGTCTGATTTCGGTCAGCCGCGCTGGGTCTGCCCCTCCTCCAAGACAGGGACTGAACGTGACAGATTGGGCGAGGCTGACCGAAATCAGACTGCTTTCTTCAAGTTGAACAAGAGCAGCATCTCGCTGAAGCCACGGAGCTCGAATGTCCATCGTAAAACTAACTTTACCGCGGTTTAATGTGGCGCTATGGATCTGCAGACATTGCACGATGCTGTCTTGTTTTGTGGTGTTTCTAGTGGAAAATACTTCCACACAGCGGACATGTTTAGATGAAAAGTTGGTTAGCTGTTAGCCACAGTGCTACTGCACGTTTTAGCTGGCTGCAAACTATGAAATGGATTTCCTGAATGTGAGGCGGGTCTTATTACTCCAAGTTCATGAGACACGCCTCCGTTCAAGAAATCCATTCCAAAGTTTGAAGCCAACGTGCAGAGCAGCTGGCAGGGAATCACATGAGAAGTTTCAGCAGACACAGACATGCATGGTGGATCAGAAATCTCTGCAGGTTGGATCGGAAAAAAAAAGATACGCAAATTATGGTGGTATCGGAGGCCAATACCAGACCGGACCAGATCGGCCCCATCCCTACCGGTCTTGTGATGACATGAGCGGCCAGCCTTAAGAAATAAGATGGAAGTTCATCTGGACCTGCAGATTTTTTAGAGTCTAGACCTTTTAATAGATTATTAACCTCACTGACTGAGAACGGGGAAAGACAAAAGGTGTAGTTTACTGAAGATTGACTTGTAGGAGGGATTTGATTTGTAGAAGTTTGACTTTTAGGGGAAGTGGTTGATTTTCCATTAGTAACTGTGTCAAATAAAGAACTAGAAGTGACAAAAAAATTTTCAAAACAGTTCAGGATCTCGTGCTTATTTGACACAGGAACAGAGTTAATGAGAAGTTGTGATGGGAGGTCAGATGATTGGGGGCTGCCTGAGAGAGATTTGATGGTTTTCCAGAATCTGTTAGGGTCATTTAGATTTTTGGAGGTCTGAGATAAGAACTAGTTGTGTTTTGCTGCTTTGACAGCAGTTGTGCATTTATTCCTCATCTGTCGAACTCAACCAATCAGTGTCTGAGCCAGATTTTCTCGCTGCGGCCCAAAGCCCAAAAAAATATGGTGTCATATGGTGTTCAAAGTGTGCTCAATTTATCTCAGTCTTGATGATGTGTGTCAACAATAGGACATAGTAGCAATTATAGTTTTATGAGCATTTGGATTTTTAGACATAAAAATACACTTGATAGTTAGAATTTGAAGTATATTTACTGTATATTATGGTAATTTATTCTGTAATTTGCTAGATTATGGTGATTCTGGGATCATGATGATGGGGCCCTTGAAGATTGTTGCCCAGGGTACAGCAAAGTGTTAATCTGACCCTGTCTCCCCTCCACCCCAGTTTACTTCATTCAACAGCAAAACATACACACCTTTTTACATGTGGGGCAAACATTTTTACACCCCACTAGTTATGTAAGAGCATTTCTGATTCACTTTCAATAAAATTCTTCATTTTTGGAAGGGGAAAGGAAGACTGAGATTGCCATCATTGTATGTTCCCATATAATGGCAAAATTAGTTCTCTACATTTAACCCATCACACCTGAGATACACCCAGGTGGAGCAGTGGGCTGCTATGCAAGCGCCCAAGGAGCAATTAGGGATTAGGTGTCTTGCTCAGAGACCACAACATGCGGGAATCGCTGGGAGTCGAACTGCAACATTCTGGTCTCAAGTCAGCTGCCCTACCTCTATCCCATCTCTTGCTACATCTAGAAATACATTTTTTAAATGCAGAGGTGAAAATCCTGCATGCAAACCATATCTGGGGGAATGTTGGCGCAGAGTTTAGAAGATGGGCCTGTGATCGGAAAGTCGCAGGTTCAACTCCCGGTACCGTCAACATCAAAATGTGGGTGGAAAAGGTGGTACACCTACACCTCCCTCCACCCTCATTCGCCCCACTCCGAGCCCCTGAGCAAGGCCCTTAACCCCCACCATCTGCTCCTTAAACAGGTCTCTCTTGAAAATGAGTTCTCGTGGCTCAGTGAGACTACCTGGATAAATAAAGGGTAAACGAAAATGAAAAAAATTGCATCTAATTTACACATTTAGATGGAGATGGTCAAGGAAGGAGTCCAGTATTCCCTCATGTGCGCTCAATTCCATGATGTTTGGGATATACACAGGAAGTGTGCTTGGATTCATGCGTACACACAGTTTCATACATCTGGATTTATTTGTGTGTACAACTGTAGTGTGTCAAGGTCAGCTTTGCTGTACCTTCACTACTAATTATTTAAATATAAGGGGTTCTTTCTTTTTCGAGTTAAATTAATGCCATGTGACGAGGTAACTGTGAGGATTGTTTAATCAGTGACAGGAGACGTTAATTTAACTTTGACCCATCAGAATAAATGAATAAATGTGGTCATTTATTTACAGAATCAAAATTTAACATCAAAACATGTACACGTGATTAGCTGATCTGGTTCTGATTAATAAAACTTGGCATGCTTTACTAATAAGACAAGACATTTCTGAAGGCATCTAGATTACTGGCAAAATAGAAGAGTTGAAAGGAAGGATGGGTGAAGAGTATGTTGTTGACCAGGAGGGCACGCTTCTTTCAATCACCAGCTCAAACCTCTGGTACACTTAGCACGTCACGACTCGTTACCTTCGCAGGAGATAAATCAGCTCCGGTGTCGGGTCCATTTCAACGCTACCTTCCAGCGTCTCCATTAAGAGCGGCTGGTCATCGTCAGAAGTCGTGTCGATTTACTCCGTTCAACAAACAGGCTCAGCTCCCTTCGAAGTTGGAGGCATTACACCTGGGTGGATTCACAGCAAGCATCTGTGAGTCCGTCAGAGATCCCACTCAGGAGTGGAAGACTCTACAAGGCTTGAGAAGACTCCATCAAGGACTGAGTTCAACTCAGATCCAAGACTTCAGAAGAACGGAGTAGAATGAAAAAGACTCAGTAGACTGAGTAGTTCCAGGAAGTGTGGACTTTTAAAGAGTTCTCACTTCCGGTCACTCAGGACTTCCTGATTGGTTGAAACAACCAACAGGGGGTGTGTTTCAGTGATGTCAGAGGGTTATTAAAAGTCAAAAAGACAGCAGGAATGTTTAGGAACGTTTAGTGCAGACAGAGAAATGTTTTGAAGAAGTGAGAGGAAGCAAGTGCCAGTTGCTTCTTTTTTTACCGTCTGCTAGGTTTAAAAACAGGACACTTCGTTCTAATAACTTCTTTCTGACTGTCTCTGACTTTTGACCAACATCACGACTAGCAAATGAGGGTGGAGGCAGGTTCAATTCAATTCAGTTTATTTATATAGCGCCAAATCACAACAAAGTTGTCTCAGGGCACTTTACAGGAACATTCACATACATAAAAGCCAATTAGTAAAGTTCTCTATCTATTTAATTCTCCTTTAGACAGAAAATCAAAATGCATAATTACTTTGTAAATAGACATTTAATTTGTTTTCTAGTTTAAATGAGGATTAAAAAAAATCATTAATACTGTTTCACAGTTGATTTAAAATGAGTGGTTTACTTTCAACATTAGAAATGATATGAACTAAACACACTTTTGATTATCAAGATATTGTAAAATAGTAATGATAATATAAAAGAAGAGTGTTCTTTCAATTGATTACTTCAGGATACAATTAGACAGTCTCTGGATGAGCTCATTTGTATTTCTGGATTCAAATCAATGAAATAACAGTTCCTGTCCCATGAAGGTCTTCAGAGGCAGGTTTTGGTCAGAGGCCGAGTTCACTACAACTGTTTTCAATGTGCATGCCATGTTTCAGTAGGAAATCCTTGCAAGTCTTTGTACATGAGGTCCTTGGTGAGGTTAAACAAACGTTAAATAAGTGTGGACCATCTACCACCAAGTTTAAGTTCAAATGATAGAAACAAACATTCCTTTTGGTATTAATTTCTCAGCGCTGTAAGATTTGACTCTATGAATTGATGGGAGGGTATTTTTCCTGCTAGGTGGTCTGGTTTTTAATGATGCAGTAATAACAGGCTGCTTTAATCAATTTCTGATAGTAAATATGGCTCTACTGCAGTGTCAGTTCATGTGTCCATCTTGATTAGTGAAGAACTGCAAGACCACCACCATGTCTTGACACACATTTGCTCCTAAATAATGACCATCAGCTTTGTTTCTATGCATTTGGCAGAATTGAGCAGCTGTGGCTGAGTGGTTAGAGCAGTCGTCCTCCAATGCGAGAATTGGGGGTTCAATTCCACCAGCAGTCATGCTGAAGTGTCTCTGGGCAAGACACTGAACCTCTCATTGCCTCTGATGTGTGTCCCATTGATGTGTGAATGTGATAAAGCACTGATTATTCTTGGTACAGATCTAGCAAATGAGGGTGGAGGCAGGTTCAATTCAATTCAGTTTATTTATATAGCGCCAAATCACAACAAAGTTGTCTCAGGGCACTTTACAGGAACATTCACATACATAAAAGCCAATTAGTAAAGTTCTCTATCTAAGGAGGTGTGGATATTTCACCTTTCCCACCCACATTTTGAAGTTGTCTGTCGGGGGAGTTGAACCAGCGGCCTACTGATCACAGGCCCACATTCTCTAACCTCTGTGTCACCACTCCTGCACTCCATTCTAACATTATCACCTACAAAAGAAAAACCATCTAAAGCCCATTCAGATGTGAAACACAGCGATTTTACTTAGATGTGCTCATATGCAGGTTAAAACTAAACTGTTTTAAATTCGTGGGTGTAAAAATGAACAAGAAGATAAAATATACATTAAGAGGTTAAAAATACCAACTATGAAAGATTTAGCTCACAGAGAGGAAAAGAACAACTGCACACAAACACCAAACAGACTAACAGGCAGAGAACATTCATGCATTTCAGAAATTATGCTTACCTGACCCAGGTCCAAGGTAACATTCAACTCATTGTACTCAGTACTGCGGGATAGAGGGGGGCTCTGCCACCATCGCTCAGTGCCATCGATGGCGTTGGTGATGGGATGGGCGCGGTCCATGTCCTCCTTACTGCAAATGTCACAGTACTGACCCTAAGAAGTCAAACACAAATATGAAAACCTGTCAAGAAAAAACAGCTCAATAGAGAAACTTCAATAAATGCTGTGTCCAATAGAAAATCCATAAGTCAAGAAAACATTCTCTAGTTGAATATGAAATAAATTGAAGGAACACATCACCTATCATGTCAGAGGTGTAAACGTATCCTTACAACAAGCTGATTATTCCATGTTTTTATTATGAAAAATATAATAATTATTCAACAAAATAATAAAGTGGAAGTATTATGATATAGTCTTCAAATGTCCGTACATCGTAGGTATGTAAACCTTTGTTTGTCCCGCCCATAACCTCTCAACCAGTCTCAGTTGAAACAGTTTTTGGGGGATCACGCTATCCTAGAGTTATTCCAATCTGGCTTCAAATCTCTCCATAGCACTGAAACTGCTCTACTGAAGGTTTTTAATGACATTTTCATATCCACAGACGCAGGTGATTCTGTGCTGCTTGTCCTATTGGACCTTACATCT